TATATATATATATATATATATATATATATATGTATATATATGTATATATATATATATATATGCCCGCTCCGGGTTTTCTTTTACATTATTACAATATGCTTTTAGGCGAACTGACCTCTCTAACTTGCCCTTAGTGTGAGTCTCCCGGGATGGATTGCCTGCCCCTGTATAGCCCATCAGAGAAGATAGATTTAGCCATCAGTGATCTTCGTGCGCACTCTTTCGGCGGATTTCGTGCACAGCACTTCTCTATTTCCCAGCATGCTGAATTCGTGTACTGGGAACAACAAGATGGCGCAGGCTATCTTTGAAGCGCTTGAAGGTAATTCCAAATCGTATTTTTATAAATTATTACTTCTTCTTGGTCATACAGTGGGAATTTTGTCATTATGCATTTTGCTCTGCAATGCAAGTGTCTCCAGGTGGCGAAGAAAAATATACAGACCTGAGAAATTTATACTGAAAGTACATAAACTACAGTTTCGAAATATCGGGGAGATGACAAGGAAAAAATGGGCTGTTTTCCTGGAGGTTTCCAGTGATTTAAGTGGGCCTTGTTCGGTGTATTTGAGTTGTTTATCAGTGCATCTAGACTGCTCGTGTGATTGTTTTTCAAAGGAGAATGGGGGAACAACAACCACTGGAAGTACGCCGGAAAATGGCAGAAAGGAGGCAGGCATGTTATTGGGATTGATGAACCAAAGCGGTCCATCGCGTCCCTGTGTGGCGGTCAGCCTTGGTCACCGCGATCAACTATATATGGTGTCTAGTCTAGTATATGGAGAGCACTTCATAAACCGGCTCTTTGGATTACTTTAACCACTTAGGTGGTGCTTCCGTGGTCTTCGCAGAAGTTGCTTGCGTTTGATAGTAACCATATAATTCGGATGTAATTAATGATCATTTCAGCCTCAGAATAATCGTGTTTAGCACTTGAAATTATTCTACTGCGGTAACATTATCGTCAACATTGAAGACAAAGTAATAATCGTGCACTGGCGTGGACAGAAATGTCCTTGGTTGTTGTCTTTGGCTTGAATGGAAGAGCGTGCAGCTGGATTGAAACAGCTGGTGGTTCCCCTATACTCTTATTTCTGTCATTTGCTGGAAGCCTCACTTTGCTGCCTTCTAGTCTTGAAGTGGAAACAATGGATCTTGAAGTAATATAAAATCATGTTTTAGATGCAGAAGTGTGTTGTGGTTAAGGTTGTCAGTTCATATGTCAGAAAGGTACCTAATCTCAGTTTCAAAAATGAATGGTTCCATCATTGTGTTTATCCACAGGCATGGACAACCAGACAGTCCTGGCTGTTCAGTCACTTTTGGATGGTCAGGGAGGTGTTTCAGACCCCAACAACCACAGTGTTTCTGGCACAGCCGCCATACAGTCACTGGGTGGGTACCCCTGTTATTCAGCATTTGGTTCGTTGCACAGATTTCAGACCTGCTGCCCTACTATATTGAACTGCTTTGATTTCTTCTCAGATGACGAGGACATCTTTCTGTGTGGGAAGTGCAAGAAGCAGTTCAACTCCCTCCCTGCCTTTATGACTCACAAGCGTGAGCAGTGCCAGACCAACACACCATCCCTGGCCACAGTCTCCCTGGCTTCCAGTAATGCCTACACCCCTGTGCCCTCCATCAGCTCAGTGCCACAGACTCCTACAAACAAACAGGTGAGCATAGTCCTATGTCAGGGGTTTTAATATGGCTGATATCTTTATACATGCTGAAAAATCTATGTGTTCTTAGCAGCAGGCAGGGAATCCTTTAGGTAGAGTAGCGGTCTCACATCTTCAAGTTTGGGGGTTTCCAGTAAAGTGCGCATTGGAGCTGTCATGATTACTCAATTGTAGCATCTTAGAAGACATCCATGGACTCACTCAATAATATGAGGATAGCCATATATAACTATAAACTATGACTTAAATAATTTAAATATAGTTTCAATGATTGCGGGATCTCAAGATGGCAAAATTATCTGCCATTTGTGTCACAGTAGCCCTTCTCTTGGTTTGTACCCGATGTGATCACATTTGTTCACATCCAGCATTGACAGATCCTGGCTGCCCTGTCAGTAGTTCATGGTGTTTCCCTCCTCGGACTGTTCTGAGCAGGTTCTCACCGTGGCTGATGGTGTGCACCCCACAAGCCATGCTGTTTTGGAGATGCTCTGACCCATCATCTGCCTATAATGATTTGGACCTTGTCAAAGTCACTCAGATCTTTATCCCTGCTCATTTTATTCTTTCATCTACTTTCAGCATTTTTACTGCAAGTACTAAAAGTTAGCTGACCATCTAATATATCCCAGACCTTGACACGCACCATTTATACTAGATAGTCAGCTATATAGATGGGGGTGATCATAATGTTTTGGCTCATCTGTGTGTGTGTGTGTGTGTGTGTGTGTGTGTGTGTACACTATATCAACAAAACTGTAAGTGATATTATTGCAAAGTGGAACTGTTAAGGAACAACAGAAACAGCCATAAAGTGGCAGACCGTGTGAAATAACGGAGCGGGGTCACTGAGTGCTGAGGCGCATAGTGCGAAAAAGTCACCAATGTTCTGTTGTCTCGACAACCGCACTGTTATAGACTTCCAGTGGCATTAACCCCAGCATAAAAACTGTGCACCAGAAGCTTCATGGAATGGGCTTCCATGGCTGAGCAGCTGCATGCAAGCCTCGTATCAAGCGCAATGCCAAGCTTCAGATGGACTGGCGTAAAGCACACGGCCACTGGACTCTGGAGCAGTGGAAATGTGTTCCGTGGAGTGATGAATCACGCTTCTCTGTCTGGCAGTCTGATGGATGAGTCTGGGTTTGGCGGATGCCAGGAGAACATTACCTTCCTGACTGCATTGTGCCAACTGTAAAGTTTGGTGGAGGAGGGATAATGGTATGGGGTTGTTTTTCAGGGGTTGGTCTAGGCCCATTAGTTCCACTGAAGGGAACTCTTAATACTTCAGCATACCAAGACATTTTGGACAATTCTGTGTTTCCAGCTTCATAGGAAGAGTTTGGGGAAGGCTCTTTTCGTTTCCAACATAACTGTGCCCCAGTGCTTGACTGGCCCACACTGATTCATACAGTCCTGACCTCAACCCCATCAAACACCTTTGGGATGAACTAGAACGGAGATTGTGAGCCAGGCCTTCACGTCCAACATCAGTGCCTGACCTTACAAATGCTCTTCTGGATGAATGGGCGAAAATTCCTACAGACACACTCCAACATCTTATTTAATGTCTTCCCAGAAGAGCGGCATCTGTTATAGCTGCAAAGGGGGGACCAACTCTATACTGATGCCTCTGGATTTAGAATGGGGGGGTCATGGCCAGGTGTCCCAATATTTTTTCCATTTAGTGTGTGTGTGTGTGTATGTATGTATGTGTGTGTGTGTGTGTGTGTGTGTGTGTGTGTCTGTGTGTTTCCTTCTCACAGTTTATTGCGAAATTTCTCCCAAACGTGCCGCCTTAACTGTGTGATTATGATTGGCTTGAAGAACACATGCCGTGCTCAGCGGCGATAAACGTTATTACATTATTACATTGATTTACTTATACAAGATCATTAAAATGGCAGTTTACTAATTTTTGTTTGGTATGCCAGAGTAAAAATGTTTTAGTGTAACTCATTGTCTTAAACCAAGCTGATCGTCGTGGTTCTTCAGATGTGATAATTACACGTGCATATTTGTGATTTCGACATTAACGTCTCACATCGCACAGGCCTAGTGCTGAGGGTGGCACTATATGAAGATGGTAGTGCTGTTTCCGCATACCTCTGCTTTGTGTGTGGAGCTTGCATGTTCCCCTTGTGAGTGTGTGGGCTTTCACTGGATCCTTTTGTTTACTCCCACAGTCCAAAAACATGCAACTTAGTGAACTGGACTGCGCACATTGACCATATGTCTGTGTGAGTGAGTGTGCACCTTGCGATGGGCCCAGTCCAAGGATAGTTCCTCCCAATTGCTATATTTATTATATAAATCATTACTCGATTTATCACCAAATAAATAACTTGTATTAATATAACTTAAAGTGATATCTTTAGTGTGCGTGTGTGTGTGTGTGTGTGTGTGTGTGTGTGAGCGTGTTTCTTGTAATGGACTGACATCCTGTCAAAGGTGTCCTCTGCTTCCTGCCTGTGCTTCCTTAGCACAGTGACTATTGGAAATGAATAGATGGAGTTTAGAGAGAAGTTATTGGTGCCCTTATTGTCTGCATGTGTCTGTTGCAGGTGTCCACATACATCACCGTGCCTCAGTCTCCCCTTACTCACACGCTAGTTCAAGGAAATATCCTGGTTAGCGATGACGTGCTGATGTCGGCCATATCGGCCTTCACTTCAATGGACCAGTCTATGGCTGCCATGCAGCCCCCCATTCAGGTAAGTGAGGGAAGGCATCCGCCCCTCAGTGCAGTGCCAGTTAAGTGCAGTGCCAGTCAGGAGCACTGGCTGCAAAGGCCAAGCCTCATAGTGTGTCTACTGCAAATAGTCTGCGTTTCATCATTAAAAAAACAAACAAAATTTGTTCTGTTTAATTATCTGGAACATACTGAAATAAAGCAACGATTTCGGTTAACCTTGTGAATAGGAGTTATAGGTAGTTTCAGAGACTAATAAATGCATAGATATAGGAGTGTTTCTTTAATTGCTTTGCCACCTCCTCCTATCTCGATGTGTGCGTGAGTCCATTTTGTTTTTTCCGGTCAGAGCAATCTGAGCATGAATACAGCTGCCTCGTACCTGCAGCCACACCAGCATCCTGCACACCAGCTTCCGCCCAGCCAGAGCCAGGTGCAGGCAAGCAACGGCGGCCCTGTAGTTCAGGTTTATAACTCGCTACCGCCGATCACTGGAAGTGGTAGCTCAGAAGTCCAGGCACTGGGCCTTCAGCCGTTCCAGCAGGTGCAGGTAGGTCTCCATTACGTGCATGTAGGGTTAGACGGGGATCGGGCCACTTTGCATGGACTTCCAGATCATACTCCTCCTCCTGCCACAGGTACCCAGTCAGTGTGTGGAGAGCCAAGCATTCAGCACTCCTCCTGTATACAGTCCTGGCAAGCAAGGATCCAAGACCAAAGCCTGCATCATCACCACTAATATGACTGAGCTGGGGGACTTTGACAAAGATGCGAATTCAAGACGTGTCAAGCATGACAGCAGCCAGGATGGTGAGCAGCCAACCCTTTAGTTTGTAAATATATAAATAAAATTACAGTAATAGTGCTCTTCTGTTTTTCCCTTTGCAGGACAAGCTAAAGGCAAAGCCCAGAAGTTGAAGTGCAATTTTTGTGAGAAATCGTTTATGAAAAACTTTGACCTCCAGCAGCACATTCGCAGGTAGAAAATCCTGGGTTCGAGTGAAGCTGGGATAAGAGGATGTTCATCTAAAATCACTTCTGGCTCTACAAAGGTCCACACAACTTACTGCTCTGTCTCTTTTTGACCAGCCCTGGTCTCCAAGAACTGTAGGATTCTCAACTTTTTTTCCTTAAATCATTTATTAAAGTAATTATTTGTATACTGGTTATTGACTTAATGTGCTATTTCCCTCATTTGTACATTGTTTTGGAAAAAAGCATCTGTTAAATATGTAAAATATAAAAAAAACAATGTAGCCATCCCGAGCAATTATCTTAGAACAGTGTTTCCCAACCCAGTCCTTGGGGAACCCCGGACAGTCCACGTTTTTGCTCCCTCCCAGCCAATCAGGAACATCGAATACCTGGTACAGGTGCACTGGGAGCTGAGAGGAAGCAAAAACGTGTACTGTCCGGCGTTCCCCGAGGACTGGGTTGGGAAACACTATCTTCGATAACCCCCTTCCCAAAGTGTTTAAGCATTTAGTGGAAAAGTCATTGTTGGCCTAGTGGCTGGGATGACATCTGTCCATGTCATTCAGATGTGTGCTGAAACCTGCCTTGGAGCTGAGTTCTGTCTTCTCTTGCAGTCACACGGGAGAGAAGCCCTTCCAGTGTATTGTGTGTGGCCGAGCCTTTGCCCAGAAGTCCAACGTGAAGAAGCACATGCAGACCCACAAGGTGTGGCCGTCGGGCATGGTGAGCACCGTGTCCCGACTGCCTGTTACCGTCAAGGTGGTGCCGTTATGTGCCGAAGAAGACCCGGGGGGAGAAGAGGACGATCCAGGTAAACTGACCCCTACTGCCAGGGCTCTGAATTGGGTCCCTGATGAACCCAAATAACCCTCTGCTGAATACAGGTGGACTGGATGAGATTGAGGGTAACCTCGATGTGGCAGCAGACAAACGGAGTGGAAAGGGTAAAAGCAAGCAGATAATCCTGATCGACAGCTCCTACCAGTGTCAGTTCTGTGCGGGCAAGTTCAATACCTACTTCCAGCTCAAGTCCCACATGACTCAGCACAAGGACGAACAAGTAAGCTTGGATGATCCAGCGTTTCTTTGACAGATGACAAAGCATTGGTTATTAATAGTTTTCTCTACCTTTGACCCCTCACAAGGTGTACAAATGCGTGGTGAAGTCATGCTCACTAACTTTCCAGAAGCTGGACCTTTTCCTGGAGCACATCCGCACCCACCAGGAGCAGCTGACCTATCGCTGCCACCTGTGCAGCAAGGTGTTCCCCTCACTCTTTGACTTGAGCGTGCACCAGTACTCACACAGTTTCTGCCCCCAGCAGAGTCCACGCAAGGAGACCACTTTCTACAGGTAGGTAACCCCAGTTCTCCTGCTTGGGAAACGTCTTCAGGCTGCATGCAAACCTGTAGTAAGCCAAGTTCAGTGCTGGGTATCGTCACATGGTATCACTAGTTGCCCACAGCTGGTGGTTAATTAAATGAAGTGAGATCATGAGGTGAGGGAGGGAGAGAAGGACAGGAACTGCTAGTTGCACTTAAGGTTGAACAGAGACCACCCCATTGAATCTCTCGGGGTCCACCCTAAAACAGAGCACCCTGGTGTGACCCATCTATTTTCTGTAATTGCTTATCCCATTCAAGGTCACTGGGCATCCGGAGCCTATCCCAGAAGCTATGGTTGCGACCCACAGAGTAATCGGCACAGTCTACCTGTAGCAGAAGAAATGGTGCCCCTCCCCCCCACTCCAGCGTGTAACACCCCCACCCACAAGAACGAACTCATGAGCTAAATAAGTTAGTCAAGACATTCTGATGAGCAGGACAAAGCATCTGATAAAAGTTCTCACAACCCTTCTTATAAGGGATCTCAGTATTATAACGCATCAGATGTTGGTGGTGACAGGAAAACAATTGAGTTGTGGTCAGTTAGCACTACTATAGGCAGTGTGCTAGAGCCAATGTAGACTTTAAAGTGGTGTAACACTAATAAAAGTGCTAAAGGTATAGTACAGTTGTACAGATGTTTATCAAATGTCTTACAGAAGTCATTGATGGGGTGTTTGACAACATCACCGTTGTCCATCCCTAAGAACTTTTCCATTGAAAATAAATAAATAAACCAATTTGCATCTGAGCCTCCCAAACATCTCTGATCAAATTCTTACCCCACATGGACGTGTCTCGACTGTAGGTCTGCTAACTGAGGTTGAAGTTTTCGGTTAACACTTTCGTAATTGCTTCTCTGTCGTACCAAAATTGTCAATCGCTTTATATTGAACTATGACGTAAAAAGGCATTAAAAGTATTTTAAAAACCTGCCTAAACGGGAACTAATCGGTTATTGTGACGTCCCGACGTTGCCTTCCAGCCGCAGTGGATGCAGCACATTCTAAACGGCTGTTTTTAAAGGATTTATAAGTGCTTACTGTTGTCGTACCTCCTGCAGGTGCATGAAGTGCCAGAGCAAATATTCCACACAAGAAGCCTTGGAGCAGCATCTGCAAACAGCATCACACAACTTCCCTTGTCCCCACTGCCAGAAGGTAGGTTCACACCTCTGAGAATAAAGAAATTGTATCGATCGGTTCAGGCAATAAGTTTTTCCTAATTGCGTGTTTTCAGGTTTTCCCCTGCGAGCGATATTTCAGGAGGCACCTCCCTACCCATGGCATTGGTGGGAAGTTCAGGTGCCAGATATGTAAGAAGCTTTTCAAGACTGAACACTACCTCAAGCTCCATGTTCGGATTCACTCTGGTAAGGCCAGGCTGCATCACGAGGTTGACTTCCACCCCCAGTGGTCTGTCAACAGTTCTTTCTAATAGTTGCGCATTAATTTCCCCCTGATAGGTGAAAAACCATACAAGTGTTCCCTGTGTGATGCCACCTTCAACCGAAAGGACAAGGTGAAGAGACACATGCTCATCCATGAACCCTTCAAAAAGTACAAGTGTCCTTTCAGGTCAGTGTCAGGAATATCTTCTCATAATCATTCTCGTTGTCATGCGTGATTCACGATCAGTAATGACTTCTCAATGCAGGACACACGTTGGCTGCACCAAAGAGTTTAACAGACCAGACAAGCTGAAGGCTCACATATTATCCCATTCTGGTATATATCATGTTTTTATGAACGTATTAGTGATAGATTACCTTTAAATCAGTGATGTGTGTTTACCTGCAGTGCTTCCACATCTCTTCCCCAGGCATCAAGCCCTATAAGTGCCAGTTCTGCCAGAAAGCCTTCAGTCGTCGGGCCCACATGCTGGAGCACCAGCGCTCGCACACGGATAACTACCGCTTCCGCTGCCCCACCTGCAACAAGGGCTTTACCCGGCAGAAGTATTACCAGGACCACAAGTGCCCACTTGCTGCCCGGACAGACGAAGTAGGGGGTCCAGAGAAGAGGGTGCCCAGGACCAGGCAGGCCAAACAAGGATGCAGGGTGGTGGGGAATGGTCAGGAAGGTTTGGTGGCTGTAGAGGTAGCAATCAGTGGGAAGGTGCGAAAAGAGGCAGTGCCAGAGGAGGAGGTGGAGGACGCGAGGATCCAGGACAGCCAGGCAGTGTTGTCAATTGAACAAGAAGAGAAGAGCGTCTCAGAAGAGGGAGGCTGTGATGGCAGCACTGGGAGCACAGAGGACCTCCCGAAGGCCATGCTGACCATGCCTGTGTTTATAGAGACTGTGGACTGAGCCTGGGCCAGAGTGCTGCAGGCGATGCCAAAGCGCTTGTGAGGAGCATTCCAGCTCCTTCAGCGTGAAGCAGCAGAAGCAGGGATGCACTGCATTGTTGAAGCTTTCCAGAAGCACTCATTTACCACATCAGCTGAATGGGTCTTGTGGTATGTCCTAGATGTTTTACATTAAAACGTTACAGCTTTCATTTTTTTGCACATAAGAAAAACCTTCAGCCTTGTTGAAATATTTATTAAAAAGGCCCCTTGCAGCATGGTAAGGTGAAGAATTAACATTTTCTTCAGATTGTCGTGCTTTTATTACCATTGTAAATTTCTGCAAATTAAACATTCCTGACCTCACTGCACCTCGTGCGGGAAAAATCTAGAATTCTACGGTATGTACATTATTGTAGAAACCTAAAGAAACATATTTAGTTTTTTTTCTCTGAGACTGACTACAATAGACAATTTACTTTGCATAAATTGGTAGTATGTAGATAAAATAAACAACTGTGAGGCAGATGTGAGTCTTTCAGGCATGAAGAAAACTAAAGATGTCTTATTCTTGCTGTCAATGACTATGAAAGGACTATTGTTTTTTTTGTATAAAATCTGCACAAAAGTCAGAAACAATTATGTCAGTAAATGTAACGGCAATGAATTGGCAGATTGTCTTGAGTGGACTAGGAAAAGTGGTTCGTTGTCATTGTTGACACACCATAGCACACAACAACGAAATGTGTCCTTTGCATTTAACCCCTATGTCACATTGTGGCATAGCAGGGAGTAGCTAATTCAGCAATCTTCTGATTACAAGTGTGCATCCCTAGCCATTAGGCCATCAGTAGGACTTAATACTGTAACAACTGCTTAAAATGCAACTCTTAAAAACCCTACTTGTATTCAGAGATATCAGCCCTTAGCTCTGACCTCTGAAACCTTTAATTCTGAGGTGCAGTACTGGTTAAGTTTTTTCACTTGATGAAGCTAGCTTTTTACTCTACATAATTTCTGAAATGGTGCAATATACGAATCAGGAGGCGTTTCTTCTGATCTAATTCTTTAAATCTTGGATTCCTCAAATTAGCCACCACTTGCCTTGAATGGTGCTTCACAAGAGTGGTTAATATTCAGTAGGAAGTCACCTAGAATGTCATCGCTGCTCTTCTACGGCAATTAGATGTAGGCTGTTACTGCAATGTTTAGCCTCTCCTGTCCAGGTCAGCCCGTATATTTTGTGGGATTGATGTTAGAAAATGGGCAGGCCAGCTAATTAGTTGCCATACACCTTTAATTTTTATTTGCCAGCTAGTTGTGCATTGTGGGTTGGGTTATCTTACTGAAAAATGAAAGACTACCCAGTCAGCAGTAACCCTGATGGGATATCATGCCGGTATGCTAGGATAGCTACGGCAGATGGGATTAGCTGACTTCTCACCAAAGATTACCAGTTCTACCACAAAAGAAACCCCAGGCCATGGCAATGCCTCCCTCTGACACTCTTGATAGTGGCAATCACTTCCACTTGGTCACCCTTGGTATCTTATATATTAGTTGTACCCACATATTTCAATTTTTGATTAATTATTCCATGATTGACTTCTGTCAATGGACAACTTTTTACAGGTTCAGTCACAGATGATTAGGGTCAAGCATGAGCATTTAAATTGACTAGTATACATTACTTCTACAGCATAGAAATGCTATCAATAAAATGTCAAACTAATCATGTGGTTGCTATTAGAACTGGGGGGCGGCACAGTGGTTAGCATTGTTGCCTCACCCCTCTGGGACCAGGGTTTGGGTCTCCATCCATGGCGCCATGTGTGTGGAGTTTGCATGTTCTCCTGATGTCGTCAAGAGGTTCCCTGCGGTACCCCCGCCCCCCCTGCACACAGTCAAACAACATGCTGAGGTCATTTGGAGTTACCAAATTGCCTGTGTGAGTGAATGGTGTGTAAATGTGCCCTGCAATGGGTTGGCACCCCATCCTGGATTGTTACCTTGTACCTGTGGCCTCTGAGACAGGCTTCAAACCCCCCCAAGACCCTGAATAGGACAAGCAGTTACAGAAAATGAATGGATGGATAGACATTACAACTGCAACCAGTGCAGGTTTTAAAAGAAAGTACACAATTCAAACTTTTCTCAGTTTATTTCTTTAATTGCTAAATGGCTTTAAAAATCTTCAAAGTAACTCTTGTTATGCAGTCTTCAAAAAAGAATTTAGCCCCATGACCAAAATCATTTAATAACATTTTTGAAAGTATACAATTTACAATATCAATTCAATAAATGGAGATTATGAATACTAATGCTATTGAAGTTGTAAAATAAACAAACAGGTTCAAACAGAAAGATTTTTACTAGAATACAACACACATATTTTCCCACTATATCATAAGGATTAAATTCACATTTGATGTTATTTAATAATGTGTTTGAACAATGTGAGGAGATTAAGTAGGTTTCAGAACTGCCAGGTTGTCAGTAGGGCCCTTTACAAGGAATTTGCATTAAGCCTAAAACAGTCATGGGGTTTATATTTTTGGCTTTGTTCCCAAATAAAGAAAGAAAAATAATCTTTTTATATTTAAAGTGCATTTGTTAATAAATTGCATTTGATACCTTCAGATATTTTCATTTACTCAAGTCTAAAATGGAAAAAATTAAGATTCAGTAGTAAAATCATGTATAAAGAAACCTGTTGCCTATTGAGATTGAAGGAATATTTTTAGTAGTACGAATTATTAGGTTCACACACAAAAATGCCTCTTCACCTCTAGTGTTTGGTCACTTAAGACATCATATTTCAAAGGCCAGTGTTAGTACATTTATACAATCAAACCATCCAGCCCGGCAATTATGCAATTTAGGGTCATGGACTTGATATGTAATCTGCTAGTCTTCCAGTAATATTTATCAGTAACGACAGGTTTAGTTGTTTCGTAGTTAGACAAGATAAAAAAAATCCAAGTGCAATAATCCATGTGGTGAATACATGAAACAAAATGTGGGTTCAACCTGAGCCACATCTACCTAACTCTTGCAAATGTATTCAGAATACACTCCAGAAAAAAATTCAAGACCCGAGGATTGAGACCGATTCCAAACTAAGCTTCTGTTTATTAGACACCCTTAGTCAAAATATGTTCTCTAATAATAGCTGTTTTATACATAAGATAGTGTCTATAACCTGCAGACTAAAGAAAAAAATTGTATTAATTTTTTCATCCCAAATTATCCTACTGAGCAGTACATGGATATACACTGTCTTTGTCATCTGAATTGTTTTTTTTTTTTTTTTGGCTGTTCTAATAGCACACCCACCAGATTTGTGAACCAGTACCAAACAGATCTGGTAGGTTCATAGTGTACAGTTCAGAGAGGCTCTGAAGCCACCACAATGCCATGAGTCTCCTGATGCTTAGCATCTTGGGACATGGAACACCGCTGACTTCAGAAGTGCAAAGAGAAATATATGGCAAAAAGGCAGTGTGAGCTCAGCTTGCGGATTTAACATCTTGAAAAGTTTTTTTGATCAATACAGTAGTTTAGATTAATAACCTGGAAATGGAGTCAGCACAGTGTTCTACACATAATTTTCCCCAAACAAGCAACATACAAAAATAAGACGCATAGTGAAAATTTTATACTAAAGCCCTATAAAACTAGGGCCGTGGTACCTGCAACTGCTTATTCTACATTTATAGTGATGTAAGCAGGCTCTGCATCGATTTATATTACATGTAAAAATTTGATGAATTCATGAGAATCTTGGAGCAGGAGCGTTTTGGTGCTGGTGTGTCCCTATCAACCGAAGATGCACCTGAAAGATGAGCTGCTCGACCAGACGGGAGCCCGACTGCGGGCATGTTAAAAGCCGACGTGGTCACGTCAGCAAAGATCTCGGAAATGCAGCAGTTCAGCCCCACTGCCTTCCAGCTTTGGTTTTTCTAGTGGCCGCAAAAACATTCGATAAGAGCAACTGAAAAGCACCATCCTGGCTTCCAATCTTTGATAAGCTGCAAGCAACACGTGAAAACATACAATTCTCATATTTCTGATGACTTATCTTAGTCAGAAACAAGAAAACTGTAAATTAAGGGTTGACACGGATATCTGAAGGAAACAAAACAAACATTTTCGTGGACTGCTTTTCTTTTTCTAAAATATGTTGTATTGGACTGAATTTCACACTAAACCTTTCAGTCAGATATATAAAGTGCTTTTTCCTCCCCTAGTGGAAAATGAAAGGTTTCAGGCACTGCTTCCAATACAATAAACATATATTAATATAATTTCACACTGCAGTATGCATTTATCTGTTTGAGAAAGGCTCCACTGCACACTGGGAACCACCCACCAGCTACCACAAAGGAAGAGCAGATACAGGAAGGGGGAGCACTGCAGGTTAGAGGGAGCACTGCAGGGAAGGGAACCCAGGGCAGTCTCTAAGTGGGCACGTTCCTCCACCAAATGGGAAATCATGTGCCCCAGAGAAGTACAGGTCAAGATATGCCGAATTCCTCCACCCTGGACTGTGGCAGCACCATGCGAAGCCATAGGATGATGTCACTCCTGTCCAAAGCCTTCTGTTTCTTCAATGGCAAACGACAGTTTCTCTTTCAACTGTTCATAGCTTTTGTAAGGAGGCAAATCCAATCGATTAAAGCTGGAGAAGCAGAAATACTGATTTAGTACATTGTATGGAACTACATGAAATTAACCTGGGGGGTAAAAAGCTAAAACAATGTAATTAACTGGAGCATATCTGTGGTATGTAGTGCTCAAAACATGAAACTCAGATAAATATCAAATGACCTGCATGGTCTGCGTACCAACTTACCAAGTGTGACTCCTTGGCAGCCAGTTCTCCTTTCCAACTTTCTCGATGCAAAATTTTTGGGCTCCGTTACTCCCTAAACGAAAAGGAGCAAGATTACATGGTATTATAACAGGGGCACGTATCAGGAAGCAGAGTTTCTTACTTAGCCAGATAATTTGCCAGATTTAAGGTAGTTTGGGCTTAATGTAAGTGAACAAAGAAAGTCCATTTAAACTGGGGTATGATGGTTAAAATGAAAGGGTTACAAATAGCTAAATTTGTGCTGTCATTTGATATTAAAATTATGGCTGTGAATCGATAACATTTTATTAAATCTCAGTTTTCAGTGATTAATCGCAATTAACTGAATATTAAAAAACTTACAATCACAAGTATTTACACACTGAATTCCTAAATGAATGCAAATTTAACTGAAAGGCAAGTATATGGGCCATTCTCATGAAGTCATTAACGTAACATCAAATGAAGACAAATTATACAACTAAAAAAACCATCAAATCAAAGTAACAAAAAGTAAAAGGTAATGTCACTCTACACAAAAAAATACTATTTCATTGTAACGTTATTTATCTATTTATCCATCGATCCATTTATTTATTTGTTTGCTTGTTTGTTTGTTTATTTTCAGAAAAATTCTCAGGTTCCAGAGAATGACCCGTAATTAAATTTGTTAATTTGTTTAATGGCTTTACTTATCATGAATAGATTCATTCTTGCAAGCAAGAACGAGCTGAATTTCAATTATTTAAAAAAAGTTAGATACACAGATGGCAATAAAACACGAGAGAACATTGTATTGCATGTAGGAATGTTAAACGATTATTTTTTTAAAATCACACCTTGGCGATTAATGACACATGCCACATGTTCATATAATCACAGGAATTCAACAGCCAGACTGACTGCTTGATTGCTTTGTAGTGAAACGTACATACAAGTGAATGTTCTGCTTTCAGCTTTGAATTCTGGGATCTTATGCAAAGTCATGACCTAAACTCTCATTGTTTTTCCATAAACAAAAAGAAATATTATAGGTCTCTTAAAAATCTTTGCTCATACTATTAAATATTGCACACATTAATGTGATTAAATGAATAACATGTTATGATTTCAAAATTATGCTATGAGTTAACGTGATAAATGTCCCAGACTCAATATGTACTGTCAAAGTACATATTTCACAATAATTCATATGTAAATAGTGCAAATATTCAACTGTTCCATACTGATTTTTTAATCCGAGTGCACTTTAAAATATTCTAAGTGGGTTTGCAGGTCTTCCACATTGGAAATTCAGAAGCCCTATATATTATCCAATACATTTTAAGTATTAATTCCTAAAGAAATAAAAACTACACTGAAACCAACAAAGCTGTTGCAGTAACCATCCATTCATCCATTTTCTGCAGCTGCACGTCCTATTTGTGGGGGTCTGGAGCCAGGGAACAACCCGTGATGAGGCTCCAACCCATTGCCGGGTATATAGCTTTCACAATTTGGTAACTGCAATTCACCTTAGCATGTTTTTGGATTGTGGGGGAAAACTCGAGAACCCGGAGGAAACACAACACAATGACACGGGGAGAACATGCAAACTCCACACACGAACCCCAGGCCCAGAGGTGTCAGGCAACAGTGCAAACCACTGCACCACCCCTCCAGTAACTAACTGACACCAAACTGAAATATAGATTTGAATAATTTGAATACAGTATCAAAATAAAAACAAATATATATATAAAAAAAAAAAACTTAAACTATCATTAACTATTAAGCTAGACGGTACGAAAAATTAGATATAAGGGTACTTCTCCAAAATTTTGCTAGATTTTTTTCGTTCTACTCTTTCTTTTTTGACCTCTGTCCTGTGAAAATCAGTGCTGCCACCTACTGGAAATACCTTGTCGATTTACTCGCACGTGCGCAGCCGACACGCACTGAAGAGCATCATGTCCACCTGCACATGCACGGACCATAAGGGCATGTGGAAAGTGAAGTATGAAATGGTCTTAATAATAAGCATCATAACCAGCATTTTAACCCTTGTGTACATGGGACTTTCAGGAAACACTATTACATACTTCAAATCTTTAGTGACCCACCATATATAGGCTATGTTTAAAAGTCAAGCCACAAATAGATGTATTGACATGGTAGCAGTGCAACTAACCGTAATCATGAAGCCGTTGATAACCAGAACTTAATATGTAACGTTACCATTTGTCAATAGTAATTGACAAAATCATCAGTGAAATGGGAACATTAGCCCCCATAGCTGCTTTTACACGTTATTACATGGATGTGCACACAGATGGAGTGCGGAAAAGGTGGAAATGTAAGAGCAAGATCCGATGAATGCGGTAGGCTGGGCTCTCAAGTCTCCGGTGTGTATGCAGGTTTTTGCTGCAACTCCTTAATTAGGTCACTAATTAGAGTACTGATTGGCTAAAGAGTCCTCACACCTGGCTTTGAACAGCTGACCTACAGGTTATCCCAAAAACCTGCATAGACAAAGGCCCTTTGCAGATAAGATTGCCCACTCCGATTCTACGTCCCGAATGTCAACGTTTGGAACTATTCACCGTCCTCATGACCTGGAAGTTGGTCAAAATAGCAGGTTTTTTTATCACATTGTGGAGACATTTCCATTATCACCACCACACCTTTTTGCCCCCCTTGCCTGAGCGCCCTGAAATTCCTTCACTTCCCACCAGGGGGCACACTCCAGATTGAATACCTCTGTTACAGGGTGTTTTAATGTGACATATGATCTATCTATCAATCATACAACCTGAATCAGAATTTCAGTCATTACTAGCAACATAACTGAAGGATGAATTCCCATTACAATTTGTTTATTTTCTTCAAGAACTCCTTCAGCTCTAATTCTTTTTGAATACCACTCACCCATGAGGTCGGCAAAACCCCCCACAGGAAGACGGCAAGTGCCAGTGACAAACTGCAGCAGTCTCATGCGCTTCTCGTTGTCGATCTCCTTAATGAACTGTGGGGGAAAGATGGCCAACCTGTCAGTGAACCATTACCAGTCAGGCGAGCCACACAACACGACTCTTTATGATGCTTAGCTTGCAGCCTGAGGTAACTTCCGTCATGTTTTGAGCCGTTCTCTATTTTCACAATCGATCAACTTTCTCTGCAAATGCAAAATCTGTCCATACGTCCATCTTCTAAGCATTTATCCTGGTCAGGATCATGTGGAGCTACTTCCAAACAGCAAAGAGGTCATACAAGCACAAACCTACCCATACAGTCATACATTATGGGCGATACAGTGACATGCCTCTAAATCATGGTTATGAAAATAGTAGCAGGTCACAGCATTCAAAGGTTTTCAAACTCAGCAAAGGTCCCACAAATACTGCAAATCAAGTTAGAAATGTACAACAGCAACACCACTAACATAATAAAAACAGCTACTTGCAGAATTTCCCACACTGACCATAACCAGATAATGAGATCATGAAAGAGTGTTCAGAACCGACCTGCCAGAACCACAGGATCTGTTTGCTGTTTCGGACGTAGTGACGGTAGATGGTGTTCCTCTGCCAGTCAACCAGGTCAATCTCTTGCATCCCACATAGCATGACCTGTAGGAGGCTGGATTAAGTACCACTGCCTTGGAAAAACACAAGGTTTCTACTCCTGTGGTCCGTATCACGGTGCTGGATTTCTCGTTTAGCCAGAAACATTGTCCATGACCATGATTAAGAAACACTGGAGTGCAGGGAAATAGACATTTTCGTAATTGTGTGAATTATATAAGGAGTTCAGTGGGGGGAAGACTTAGTGGAACAATATGTCAAATGGCTTAGCTGCAGTCACAAACAGGAAAGCAATCGTAGCGGATACACAATACTACAGAGAAAGTCCAAACCTGGTCATATAGCTCCAATGTATTTTTCTGTATTTCATTCCAAACAGGCTGTTACTTAACCTTGCTTGAGCTGTTAAACGAGCCAGAGGATTCCTATTAAGTCAAACATGTTAAACTTGTAACACTGTTTATCCACTGTAGCTCTTTGTGAAGCTGAAACCTAGCCAACTATACGGAGGTCTGGAGGGGACATGGATGGATGCTCTAACCGTTGAACTACATGAAAAGGGCTGTCAAGCAATGTGAGAAGGATGCAAATAAAGAAAAAAAAATGAATGCATGAAGGAAGCTGTTATTTACAGTATATATATGGATTAGCTACAATCAACAAGATTATTTACAAATGAAAGTATTTTTAACATGGTTCTTTAGCTTACAGTGAACTCACATTTTGAAAGGTTGAACATAGATAATTGGTCTCCTTTTCAGACAAACTTAGACCCCAAATTTTCCTCGCAATGTATATGTCCGAGTGCATGGTGCCATTCATCAGGCAACCACTGAACACTGCGTGACAAATTTCGCTGAATGAAAACAGTTAATAAAAATATATTACTAGCCTAACTCTTCCCACGTCTCCAAAAAAGTGACACGATGAAATTCTCCCACAATAAATTTCAGCGAGTTTCCCATGATACATTTTACTGACTAGCTACTGCACTGCAACAGATAGAATTTGCCTAACGGAGAAGCTACGTAGCAACCAACAATCAATTAACTTTACTGTATCAGAAAAACATCCCACATCCCACATTTTTTAAGTTACTCCCCTGCACAAAGACCCCCAGAAACAGCATATACAAGATGGCGGCTGCAGGCTCCATTTTCACACCTGGCTGCACTCTACAGTGTTGGATCTGATTAAGTGCATATTTTTAGGTGTACATTTTCATCCTCTGCACAGTTTGAAAAAGATCCATCAAACAGTTATAAAGTTATTGTGTAAACAGGATCAAATGACAAAGCTACGTAGCACTGCATCAATTTCGGGGTGATCTCAAAATTTAAACCGTTTTAGGTCCTCATCCATATGATTTAGTATATAATATAGTAATATAGTTTGTGAGTTATTGGCTTGCATAACTGTCTCTGGCAGAGGTGGTGGAAGAAACCATATGTATTCCTCAAAGGCTGGAGAATGCAATAAAAAAAGGAAAGAAGTCAGGGGACACCCTGGATGGGATGTCTGTTCATTGCTGGCATAGACTCACACATAATAATACACCACGGACAATTTTTAGGCACCTAATCTAAAGGAGCGCATGCATACTCCACACATACAGAGCTGAGGATGACAATCTATAGTCCTAATCAATAAAAAACTAGACCACCTCACAATCATTAATAAAGACAGATTTCATTTTTATGAACACACTTAACTCATGATGACTCAAGCTGGAAAAATCAATTAAAGAAAAACTTAGTCTATGGTTCAAAGCCAGAACCATAGGGATTTTAGGACCAGAATTACCAGCATTGATAAATCTCAAGTCACTATAGGCTGTTTTGCCAGGATCCAGTTCCATACCTCCAATTCCTTTGCATCAAAGTACTGCAAGTACTGCTGAGGCAGAACTTCATTGAAGCCCTCAAAGAAAGCTTGAGTCTGTTCCTCTACACCTCTGGACAACCTCCACTCTGCCACAAGCCTAGAAAGAAACCCAAACTGAAACGGTCATAAAATTAAAGCAAGAGATTGATTAAGGAAAAATGCAACAATTCGTGGAGAAATTTCAACTCTAGCAGATGTTACAGTTACCTGAACAGAATGCAAACACAATTTGTATGTACAGACGCTCCTCTACTTACAAACTTTCAACTTACGAACTTTCAAGTTACGAACGGCCATTCGAAATGTATCTTGTTCGCAAGTAGAGGAGTGTCTGTATCTGTCTGTGTGTACAATAACACAGTCTTCACCCTACAGTATGTTTGTTTTAGGTCAGTCACTGCCACCTACCTGATATATTCCTCTTTATTTTCCTCTGTGACAACAATGTTGGCGCCATCAGGTTTCAGGTCATGTGTTGTAATTTCACCCAGGATTTCTTTATCCACAGAGAAAGACATTTCCAGGCCACACTCTTCAATGTTGTTCTCTCTGGTAATATAATAAAAAACTTCATTAATAAACTAGCATAAGTAAGTTGTTGCACTACATGCAGAGAACTGCATTTCCAAAACTGTAAATTACTGAAAAAATAGAGCCAAAGGTAAAAAAATCTTACGACAAAAAGAGTAAAGGACAGTCATCAGTACAAATAAGTGGAAAAATTGAGACTTTTGCTTTGTGCAAAATTTTACTCTGAAGAATATATAGCATGTGTCACCAAGTATTTACATATTTGTAAGTATGTATGTTTGCATGCATTAGCATAACAACTGCCAACTGGATCTTTCAATATTCTGTTACAAGAACAATCAATTAAAAATAAAAATAGAATATATACCAATGAGCGAAAAGACTATGACCACCACCATATGACGTGAAAAAGTTGTCACCCTGATGGTGGATCATAGTTTTCCCCCCTCAGACAACTCTCAGTAGATACCACTGCTGACCGTGAGCACTGCATAACTCTCTTGCCATTTCAGAGATGCTCTGAGCCAGTTGTCTGGCCATAATGATTAGGTCCTTGTCAGAGCCATTCAAATCTTTATCCCTGTCCATTTCTTCTGCATGTCAACTATGACTACCAAAAGTTAGCTTACTGCCCAATACACCCCAGACATTGACATGCACCATTTATTTAGTTTTATTTTCATGAGTTTTAATATTTATTAATATTATTTGTTTCACAAGGGAGTGGTCATAATGTTTTGGCTCTTCAGGGGACTTGATACATTTCTATGGATTAGTTATCTGTGGGTTGCATGCAATGTTTAATACTTTCGTAGAAGCTTGTTTCAAAAGCACAATTTAAAATACAAAACTCAAACCACAGTTATTTTTATGCTCTTTCCTTTTTTTCTATATTCCTTTAAATTTGTCACCGTGTTTCCTAACAGCTAAGTATGGTTTGTTGAACACTATGTTGAAAATAGATGTAGTTTGTGATAAAAGACTTGTTAAAAATACTTGTGTGAAAACAAAAACAAAACAAAAATCTGGCACTCAGATAAAAGTAAAAGTTGGATAAAAGTAAATGCTCTGTAAGAGTAATAGGTGAAAATTGTAGTAGTTGACATAATGACATATGTATTAATGTAAGCAAGGCGCAATTTTAGGTGACTACTCACTTAATCCAGATGAGGGAATTGTAGAACTCTGGATCAATGGATTCCAGATCTTTCAGACTCAAAGGCTTGTTCAGTATGCGCTTGTAGAAAGGCAAGGAGAAACCTGTATCAATAAACTTCCCATGGAACAGAGCCTGAGGGAAAGGGAGAATAAAACCTGTCAAGAGGGATATAAATGTAACAACAGCAAACACTATAGCTAGCAGGTAATCTTTCTCATTACGTGAATGCATCACTCTCATTACTCTAGAGTAATAATTAACCATTTCATCACCATGGCAATGAAGCGCCCGATGAACTTGAAGTACTTGAGGTGGTCAGGGTTGATGGATGAGGCAGGGTTGATCTGCAGGCAATAGTTGTCCTTTCCAGCGTACTCAAAGAGGCAGTACATGGGGTTCAGCACTTCGTGGGAAAGAAGAAAAAACCATTCCCTGTACAGACAGACAGACTCCTCATCACTGACAGCATCTGAACATTCACTTAAATAGCATTCTAAAAGGCATTTATACATACATTTGAAATTGCAATAGATAATATAGTTATCCGCTGAGCTAGTATCTTGCTACCATCTTATTATTAAAGAAAAATAAAAACTTTAATTAAGTAAAAAATTTTGCAGAGTTCCCCATGATAAATTTCCCCTACTGCTACTGATGGAAAAAATCAATTTAAAAAAACTACTTTGACGTGAGAAAGCTGTTTCTGTATTCAGTGTAAAGTTTTTTGTGCTGTATCTATAGTACATTTAGTGATACAGTAATCATAGCCCCTAAGAAAGTGAGCAGTGATCACAGCAAACCTAAGAGGAAAAAAGTGAGAGTGTAGAACATAAAAAGGAAATTAAAAAAGTTAAGCACCCAGGCGGAGTGGTGAGAGGTCATGTCACTATATGGCTATTATTATAATATCACAATGGGCCGATCCCACCCATGTTCGATTGGGGAAAGATCAAAGAACCTGGCTGGCCACGGGAGGACCTCAGAGGTGTGGTGTGTCTCTCCACAACATTGGCAGGATTGGTCCTCTCCCCTTGGCACTGCCATACACGCATTTGACGGTCATCCGTGGTAATGCAGAACCGAGATTCATCACTGAACATGGTACAACGCCACTTGTCGTCAGTCCATGCCTCCCGGTTATGGCACCATTCCAAACGCAGCCGTCTCTGCGCTGGTGTTAACAGCAGCCTCCGCATGGGATGGTGAACCCGTAGTCCGACTGATGCCAGTCATTGAGACACGGTGCAGGATAACATGGGATGTTATAGAGTCCAATACCTGTGTCTGGATGGCAGGCGCAGATGTCATGCGGTTCTGTAATGCTTGGCGCACAATACGACAATCTTCCCTTGATATGGTCTGTCTTAGGTGACTGGAACCTTCTCGACGTGTGTGGGTGCCCTCACATGCCCACTGGTTCCAGCATCGGGTAACTGTCACATCTGCATGCCCCACATGCCGGGCAGTTGCACAATACGACCTCATGCAAACCCACAATGCAATGCGACCCCTATCCAACTTCGTCAAATGCTGGTAATGCTGTCTAATGCGTCTATGAGGCATCCTCTGTGTCAGGTGACTAGACGTGCAAAGCAAATCATTTTCATTCCCATCGCTGGACTGCATGTGTACCAAAATACATCCAAATCGGACCTGCACAACAGCCAAAAACGATCACTTCTGGGTGCTTAACTTTTTTTTGTCATTGAGTGTATATATAAATATACACACACACACACACAAACACACACACACACCTTGCGCCCCCCATGGTTTGACAGCACTAACCTATAAAATGTTTGAATGTTTAGAAAACATTTCAGATCACTGTGTTTATAAGACAATGTTTGCAAGCCTTCCTTCATACTCTCTGCTGCCACCTATCGCTTCTGTTTCAATTTTAGGGCGATTCGTCTCAGATATATCAGCTGTAGATATTCATCTGTATAATGTTTTTGTGAAGTGGTATTATGAGCCATCAAAGCTCAAATAGAGCAAATAATGTAAAAACATCAAAGTTATATGTTATATGTTCAGAAGTCACCCTTTCTGTGCTTTCATTACACACTGCTTTAGTTTTGGTGCAATTTGTCTCAAAATTTTAACAGGTCCAGATCTTAACACCCTTGCAACAAGTCTGCAAAGGTTGAAAAAGATCTGTCAAATACTTTCTTGAGTTAACAAAAGAATGACATTTTTTTTCCTATCACTATGTGGTGCTGCATCAGTTTTGGTGTGATCTGTTTGGAAAAGAACCATCTCTTTGCATAATATTTAAAAAAAATCTGACAAAACTGAGTTGTCATGCTGATAAGATCAAGTGTCTGAGACAACCCTTCTCTTTGCCATCACTGAGCAGTGCTTCTTCAATTTTAGTGCAATTTTTCTCAAAGTTTGATCAGATCCAAATCTTCACCCATACAATGTGTTTGCAAAGGTTGAACAAGATGTGTGAAATAGTTTTTGAGTTGTCACACTAATGGGATCAAGTGTCTGAAGCTGCCATTTTAGTTCCTAAAATGTGGTGCTGCATTGATTTTCATATGATCGGTCTCAAAATGTATTCAGTGCCAGTTCGTCACATAGATGATGTGCCTTCCCTGTCCAGGCACAATGTTAATAACTTGCCTTGCTACACCTCCATAGTCCAAGCCTTCTTCTCCAGGGAATATTATCCACACTCGCCGGCGGAGATCATGTGCATTGAAGCTCATAATCTAAAGCAACATCAGAACCACAGCCATGCGAAATATCAATTAAAATATTTGAAAACAATACAAAGAACAGCACAGTCTATAGACACATCAGAAGCAAGGGAGACCTAATTAAAAATTAAAGCAATAAATATAGTGATTAAAAGGCACTGGATTACAATAGACAATACCCAAACAATTCTGAAAGTAATGTCCACACCGAAAGCAAATGTTTGCTTACCTGCTGGAACGAGTCCTCAAACAAGGTCTTTCGTGAGACATTGATCTTTATGTGCTGAGGCATGACCAGTTGCTGTAGCCAGAAACAAAAACATATAACAACAATCATAGTATTCTTCACACAAGACTGGACAGATCATTAGATGGTGTATAAAACAAACCCTTTCACAATCTGAATTATCTTCAAAACATTCCCATACCACTGTCTATGTCCTAACAGCATTACGTTTTCACAAGTAAGCATTTTAAAACAAAGAACAAATCTTAATGCATTTTTACATTAAGCAGATGTTAAATGTTCTGTTTTGTTTCACCTGCCCAGTAACTGAGGTCTCAGTACATTAAAGCTACAATAATTTGGTACTGCATGATTCAGAACGCTCTATTAAGAAGAATACACCCATTACAGTTCACAAGAGTTCAAAAAGCCTGACCAGTGAGACAGATGGCATATGTTCTTTGTTTGACTAGTGACTTGTAAAGGTGTTCTGTATTTAGTGATGCAGACTGTGTGTCATGATTTCTACAGCTACAGTACTGGGCAGAGGCTGGATGATTTAAGGTTGAAGAAGTATGACAGCATTTGCTGAACGGCTGGTTAGTAGGGTGCCCATGCCCCCACTGCTTCAAGCATGATTTTATATTTATTGTTATTTTTTCTAGAAAAACAATGTTACAGGATGATCATCATCACACTCTAATGCTACACCAGCCTGCACAAAAAAAAAATCTGATGACTAACAACAATGGAAGCAGCTCGTCCTCGCTTCTCATGCTTTGGAGCAGGAAGTCCAAAAACATGTGAAGCGAGTAACAATGGTGGTTTTTAATCAAGGAAGCGCTGCTTGCTGTGCTTGGTGTGTTTTGGGGATTACAGACTAAAACTTCAAACTTTGCAGCTTACGTAATTCAAATTACTAGCAACGTTATAGTGAACTAATGTAAGTGATGTTAAATAATAAGCCATAGCAATGATATGACACCCCCTCCAACTTGGAGCTATGCCAGTCTGTAATTATACGTAGTTGACTGGTATTATTATGAAATGACATCATTTATGTGTGGTCATGAATGAAGCAACGCTGCACACATTCTGAATGCTGTTGATAATGTTTGTTTTTTTTTTTAATATAATTGCTGAAGTAAGTTTTCTGTATCTGGTAATCAGTAATCAGTATCTGGTAATCAGTAATCAGTCTGTATTTCTTCGTAACCTTCTTGTCTTGTGTGAACCCTTCCTCTTGTTTCCTTCTTTTTGTAATGACAGGAGAAAACATTGTAACAGATTTTTTTTCCCTACAGCTTCATCATGTGGTTCTGTCAGATATCCTGACAGAGGCATTTTCACATTGTGAGACACTGATACTGACCTGACACCAGAATCTGAAATACTGCACTTTGGCTTTGAAGTCTCTGACATAGGTGATCTGAGGTCCATTTTCACTGTAAGACACAAAGAATTGGAATTCTTTTTAAATCCTAAAATGAAATATCTTTAACTAAATTCATTCAAACAATAAGTGAAATACCATACAATTTATGATTAAATCAGCTAAAGAAACCCCTCATGTGATGTTATTGTGTGTAATGTCCGCAATCAAGATACACACAGGCCACCAGTTAATTATAATATTTGTCAAATATTTATGCAAGTTGCTGTCTGCTTTAAATGAGGATTTGGTAAGCACTAATCCACACCTCAGAACTGTTTTCAAAGCTTAATCAAATGAAAATGCAGAGGCCAGTCAGTTGTTTGTTGTGCTTTCGTTCCGAACAGGTTAAGTGCAGTGACCATAATGACACAGCTTCTCTCTTCACACCAAAAAAATTCCAACAATGTTGCCAGAATGTTCATCCCCAGCATACATAACTAGTTATTCTGGAAGAGCAAGTTAAGGTGACACTTTGTTTACATCCGCATTCTGGAAAATTACATTTGCATGTAATTTTCTTCTGCCAGTTCACACAGAACACCCTGGTAAAATTATTAAATTATCCACCTTGGAAAACTGACCTTCAGTCAATCATGTTTCACCACTATATCACAACAGGTGATGGAAGACACTGTTGTCATAGCGACCATATCGATGAAAAGGAATTCCCCAACAAAGGCTGATAGATAGCATTTAATAGCAAATTGGGGGGGGGGAGGTGGTCACAGGGGCACTTACAGGGATGACTTTCCACTTCGGGGATCAATGTAGGTGGTTGTTCTCCGGTTGTGGTCAACAAAGTAAGGAATCCCATTCACCGTGAATCTCATCTCCCAACCTTCGGGTAGTGGCTTCTCACTCACCGTGCTGCACAACAGCAAAAGCGACACCCAAATGCCTAAGGGCTGAACTGGCCATCGTGATCCAGAAGCATGTGCCTTTCAAATGAACAGTGAAGCATCAACCCTTACCTTTGGTTTCGCGGGTCCTCCCACTGGGTCATCCGTGTTTCATGGTTGACGAAGTACACCCTGCCACTGGAGTCTGTTCTCTTCTCTGTCACATTATAAAAAGAAATTTAAATTATAATGATGAATACACAGACGATAATTAAATTAAAAACCTGAAAGCCCCCTTTGAGTACACCAATCCCTTGCTCACAAAACACGGAATACCGGAAAACAGCCTTTGGTGACTTTATGTGACTATCTTGCCTGAAGGCAGAACTTACATATTAAACAGTTAAACGTGGTTAATTACACTGCTTTTTAGAGACACACAAACACACACATTTGTATTCATATCTTTGTGAAGACTGTCCATCCATTTCTATGGGTATAACACCAATCTCAAGTGTGACAACCTTAACCCCTACCCAGCCCTTAACCATAACTATCCAAACAAAATACAAGACTTTTGGAATTTTTAGTTTTTTGATTGCAGTCACAGATTTTTATAAAACTTAGTTTCCCCTTGTGGGGACACACACATACAGCTGAGAGTGCAGTTTGGGGCCAAGCGTAGGGTCAGACTTTTTATCCAGTGCCCTAACAGCACTTTTTCTGACTTGTCTTAATGTAATGAAGTTCACCAGCTGTCCCTGTTCTTTCACCACTAATACTTTCCATGATAAAATTCCGGCACAATAAATTTAGCTGAGTAGGGGGGAAGGTTCGCCCACAATAAATATGCAAATTGTATTGGGTCCCGGGCTTTGGGCAGTGAAGAGGAGATGTGTGAGTTGAGTAGCCAAAGAACTTCATAATGACTCCAACAAGAAGGTAATCATTCAGACAGCTGACTGTGAGCTTTTTAGGAAGAGGTATTATTGTGGTCACCTTGAAACAGGAAGGGATCACAGACTGGACCGGTAGACCGAATATGTCCGTAAAGACAACCGCCAGCTGTTCAGTGCATATTTTCATGACACAGCCTAGGCTGGCATCAGGGCCAAAAGCCATATGAGAATTATTCTTTTGGAAAACTTTACACACATCAGCTCTGGACGCAGACAATGTAAGTTCACAGTGGGCTGTGGGGAGTGACAACAGAGTGCTCTGTCAGTCGTGGGTTTGACTTCGCTGTGTAATCTATGATGCCACTTAATCCCATCCACGTATTCTGGGTATTACTGCTGTGGCAATAACACTTTATTTTGGATCTACAGTTGAATTTAGCTAATTTTATGGCTTTCCTGAAATCAAAATAATGAAAATCAAAGTTCCGTTACTAAAAGAAGTACAAAAACCAGCCCAGGTTTCAGGTTTAAGACTGAAATTCAGTTCGTAAATGGCCCATATGACAGGACCATTATACAGGATGGCAGGAAGCCTCCAGATCCACCTGTCCCACAAGCCCACTGGGAGCAGCCATCTAAGGAGCACTTTACCCCATCCTTGTGGCAGAGTTCCCAAGGGATCAAACTCCTTGTTCTGCGCTGGGTCTTGAAGCTATGGCACAGAGAGACAGACTGAAATTAGACCTCAACATCCAGGGAATACAGCTGGAGAGTGTGTGTGCAGGTGAGCAGAGCAGCAAGAACTCATCACTTAAGCAACTTCGCTGAATGGTACCTCTATGTGTGTGTGTGTGCGCGTGCGCATATATCACTGATTGTCAGCAGAGCCAAAGCAAACAGCCAAAGCATTCCCAGAAAGGACTCCATAACCGTTTACTGTTTTTCGAGAAGGACAACAATTCTACCTAATTCTTAACATAAGTTACTTCATTCATTCATTTTATTCCCCCTTGTTGCTCAAGATGATTATTTTATTGTACAATTTAGAGAACAGAGTATTTAGTGGACTGATTTGATGATCCTTTCCTGGGGAGCTAAGGGCATGTTCACATTAGGCCCGGTTGCCTTGTACCATGCCCCAGCATGATTGTTCCCCCTCCCCACACTCCCTCTGGTCTGCAATCACATTGTGCTTGACGTTCCGTGCCCGAGCACACTTTCGTCATCCCCATGCAACTTTTTGTGCTGAAGAAAACATCACACAGCACTTTGAAGTTCATGATTAATGTCCTCATTTTGTGGGTTATTTGGAGTTGTTTTAGGTGTAATGACTCACCGCCCTCTTATAGGATAACCCTGTATTTTACGAAATATCTCTGAGTTTTTGCGTGTTGCATCCAGTTGTTCCTGGATACTCATCTGCCCTAATTTCCAGCAAACACTGTACCTCTGATCACTTTGCCACTAGGTTTGTTAACCGTTTGTCACTATCCAATCTGTACAGCCTACCTGATCTGTTCCTTCTAGGTCCAGTTCATAATGTATAATGTATATGTGCGCCGTCACATCATGTCGGTGTTCCATGCTCGGGCATGGTTATTGATCATACTAGATGCGTACCTTCCCTGAATCCAACTGAATCTGGGCATGGTATGGAAAGATCACAACTAGTGTGAGTATATCCTAACTAGCAGCCTTACACTTACTGCTACTCTGCACAAGCTCACTATACCAGTGCACAAAGGCTCCTGTCTATCTTAACAGAAGCATCTCACCCCAAATATGAACCTCTGGTTGAACTGGTGCATGGCTCCACGAAGCTGGCTCTGTCTGTGCTGCCACTGCTCATAGTTGCGCATCGTCTGGACCGTCGGGCGCTGCCAGGTGGTGGTCCTGGTGATATGATCCACAAAGTATATCCTGCCCGTGGGGTCCACACGGCGCTCCCAACTGCAATGTCAGAAGACAGAACAGGAGGGGAAAATAAATGACAGCCTTTGTGAAGAATGAGTGGTTTTGGTGGTAAAGAGGAAGGGTGGGCTCGTTCTTTTTTTAATGTATGACACAGATGGCGTTATTGAAAATGAAGAAAAGCATACTAACACACAATGTTCTGATGTGTTTTAACAAAGCAGACAACTCACCTGCCTTAGAAAAAAGCCCAGCGGTTCCCTCTCTAAGTAATAATTTTCTGGTAGAGAATGTGAGGAGTGAAGAGATCTTACCCATGAGGTAGAGGTTCTGGCCTTTCCCAAGTCGTCCTCTTCTCTATGTGATCCACGTAGTACGTACAGCCATTCTGGTCTACTCGCTGCTCCCACCTTCATAATGGCAAAAAAGAATCAACACAAAAATTAGCTAGTCGATCAGAATAAACCAGACAGATTGGGTCATCACTCCATTTTAGGACCATAAAAAATCTTGAAAAAGACAGTTTTCCTTCTTGCCACAATGTATAGCTGAGAAAGAAACATAAATGATCATCAAAGCTTATTTGTAAAAAAATCTTGAACTGATGTGTAACAACTACTAACCAGCTGACATACAATTTCAAAGGAATTCATTTTGGCCGCTTCAGCCAAGAGATAATGTTATTCTAAAAAAAAAAAGCCATTCTGATTATCCCCTGATATCTTAATAGTCATTGGGCAACTGCAGTACCTGGTCACCTAGGCAGGAGAACAACAGGTTACCAAAGTTATTTAGTTCAGATATTATTTCCCTGCTATAGAGTGAACTTCATGGCACTCAGAAAGATTACTGCTGTTGTACCCTTGAGAAAGCACTAAACATGAATACCTTCATTAAAAATTGCACCTAGAGACAACTGGTAAAACTAATTTCATTAGACAAAAGAAAGAAACTACGGTAGGAAAAAAGATCACAATGCAGGCAGACCAGGTTTCAGTTGCTAATCAAATAGTAAGGGATACTTCAAAAACTTTTTTACTGAGTCGTATAAATTGCTGTCAACAATATATACGATGCCACAGGTTGCACTGCAATACATGTCCTGGTTTGGTCTGGCAATGTGAAAGCTGTGCAGATTAGATAGATCACATAAGCAGTATTCTACAAACTGTGCAGCTGGAGGTCAAGGAGACTTTTGCAGATGTTCATACCCAGGTGGCAGGGGAGCGATGTTAAAGTTGGATATTTTCGGAACAGATGGGGCAACACCACCTGCCTGCCGGGAATCATAAGACGCCAAATTGTTGCTGGAGCCGTACGCAGGTGCTTCTGGGGTAGCAGCAGTGGCAGCCTCACTGGAGATGGCTGTTGGAAACAACAACAAAAGATGCTGTTTGAGATAAGACCACTGGACACAAATGAATAAGGGGTTCTGCAGAAAACAGACTGTGTAAGCTGTACACTAGCACATCTGCAGGGCTATGCTGAATCTTTGTACTATAATTAAAGGCTAATAGTCATATTAATGAGAAATATTAGCCTAAATCAAATTCTCCTTAATATTTTCATAATAAAACTAGAATTGTATTCCTCAGACAGTCCTGTCATTTGGTCCGTCCATCAAAGCCACCAGTCCCACACTCACCAACTTGTACAATTTCTAGAAGCACTGGATGGAACACTGTTAAAGTTAACATATGTGTTTTTACCTGAATGTTCTTAGTCCTTTTTGTGATATGCTGGACAGAAAGAATACTTTTTCCTTTACTGCACATTCCACTTATATAACAATTTGCAGATTGCTTCCTAAATAATTGAGTGGTTCATTGTATTCCTTTGTGTATATTTTAATGTCAATGTTTGAAATTGTCATGTATTTAATTTTCATTTTTTATTTAAATATACACAGTATAAATATATACAGCATGTTACAGTATACTTAAATTTTTACAGTTAATTATATACTAAGAGTAGAGCGAAGAGGCACAATCTGGCTTTCTAGGTTCTGAAAACAACTGGGGCACATCCCAGAATACTCGTGGCTTTTCTTGGACAATTGTAGTTGGGTTTTTTTTTCTTTTGTTTCACTTAAAAATGAACCCCATTATCCAAGCATATTGGAAAGAACATTTGTAACCTAAACCATCACTATGCTGCTGTTTCAGTTTTGGGGCGACCTGTCTCAATTCCATCACTTCCAGTTTGTCATTCCATCAATGTGCCTCCAAAGTTTGAAAATTATCCATACAATACTCTTGAAGTTACTGCGTTCCCACAACCAAGTGTCCTCTACAGCAGCTGTTTCCTTCCGTTGCTGCCACACAGAGCTGCTGCTTCATTTTTGGGGCAGTATGTCCAAAAATGAAAACAGGGGCTTCATTTATCAAAGTTGCATGTGATGCTCGAAAAGTGCCTACCCAACTTTCTATGTAGATTCCTGGCATCAGACATTCACATACACTTTTGTCAATTGAAAGCCAAAACATTTTATCAATGTACAATCATGTGTGATGCCGACATTACACTCACATTATGATTTGTTAATATTAAGTTTCACATGGCAAATCAGTATCTACTGACTGCCCTGGTACAACAGTGCATAACTGTGCATCCCCCCATTAAAAATGCATACGCATGTTGAAGTTTGAGGGTGCAAATGTGGGTTTGCCCCTGTAAATGCAGTCACATTGGCCCTGGGTGCAGCAAGTCATTTCTTTCTATATTCAGATCTGACCACTTTTTCAATGTTTTAAGTCTGTTTAATAGCAACACATCACTGCTGCTGTAAGTTACTTCACCTCTACAAAACCACTGAAAAAGTGGTCAGTGATTCAACATTATTATCACTGCACAAAATACAAGTATCAAATACCTTTTGACTTATCACATTCATAAGGACAAATGTTGTCTGCTTTCACCCTTCCCTTTGCTGCCTCTAAGCAACATTGCCTCAATCTGTCTCAAAATTTAATCAGTTCCAGGTCAGTACCCACACAATGCCTCTGTAGAGTTTAAAAAAGGTCCATCAGAAACTTCCTGAGTTATCTTCTTGATGGGATTAAGTGTAAAAGTGTTTTTTGGCTATCACTATGTGGTACTGCATCAATTTTGGAGTGAGCGTTCTCAAAGTTTGAAAAAGGTCCATCAAACAGTTTCCGAGTTATTGCCTCACATAGCAAAATGTCTGCTGTGGTGGTGGCAGCGGTGGACTAGTGCTAAAACCATACGTATTCCATGAAGAGTGGGGAATACAAGAGAAGTAGAGCTGTGAGGGGCCCAAATAAGGAATACATGAAGTGCAGTAAAACCTGTAAGAGAGGCCGGTCTCCGTGGGGTGGGAGGAGGAGGACGCGAAGGCCTAGGGGGTCGTAGTAGCCTGATCCTCCCGGCTGACAGTGAGGGGGAAGGAGTACCATTCACCGATCGTCCATTGGGGGCACCCCTGTCCTCCATGCTGTCAACAGAGGCATCTTGCCTCACCCTGCTGTTAAAGAGCAGGCAAGTTTATTTTTAACCGGTAGAAATGCCACGAAAAACACATTTCAGGAAGAATTTCAAGCAGTTATTTATGAAATAACTCAAGGTGGTCATCTTATAACCTAACGATATAACCAAAATCATCCAACACATCCCGGTAAGCCAAAAAGAAGTGTAACAGACCAACCAATGTAAACCCAGGAGATCTTTGTTAATCCCTTGCTAGGACTATTCAGATACCCATTTGAAGGGCCTGGAGTATAATCAGATGTCTTGGTATGGCCTCCTCCAGTTGCTGGGACCCACCTCTTCTCCAATCTGATTCTCTCTCTGAATCAATGATATTTCCTTCTGCCCTCAGAACTGTATCTTCAAATTAAATTGCCATAGAATGTTGTTTTGTGAAGTTTTAATAAAACCATGAAAAATATTCCAGTTGCCCAAAATCAGAAATGACTTCTGCAGTCACCCTTCCTTTCACTACTACCAAGTTGTGTTGCTTCAATTTCTGTGTGATTTGCCTAAAAATTAAATCAGTTCCAGGCCTTCTCCTACACAAAATTCATGTGAAGGGAGGACCTGAAAAATGTTTTGAGTTCTCATGCCAACAAGAAACTGTTTGCAGCAGTAGACCTGTCCCAAAACCATATACAACAATGCGGGCTTCTACAGTACCATCAGTCACAGTGGTAAACATCATGACAATGAAACAAGGAGTAACTGTACCTTGCACCACCTTCCCCATTATTTCCAGAGTCTCCATTGAGGACTTCACCTGTGACACACAGAACCATGAGTGTCAAAAATGCATGTAAAGATGATTACATGTTGTTTCATATTATATATGAAGATTGGAAGATGTTGCCAGTGACAGAGCCTCTCAAATTTAATTGCCGATTCACGATAAGGGGAAACACCAACCAGGGTTGTGCAAAATTCAGAATTTATGAATTGCACCCTGTTCCATTCATGAACTGGGATTTGAATTGGACTGAAAGGAAGAATTTAATTGATTTCAGTTAAAAAAAGAAAATCAATGCAATCACACAACACAGGAATGTAATTTATTCCAAAGCATATTATTATTATTATTATTATTATTATTATTATTATTATTATTATTATTATTGACAACAGAATTTCTAGATAGTACAGTAGGTGGTGTATGGTGGTAGCATGGTGACCAGATAATCCATGTCAGGACACTTTGAGCTACTTCAGGTTTTACAAACTACTTTAAAACTGAAAGGCCCATATGTTTGACTAAATAGTTCAGTTCTTTTGCTTTAAATGGTTTGTATCCTTGATTGAATGACTATTCCAGCTTTTTCACATTAATGTTAATGACATATGCATAGTTGTAGGAAATTGACCAATCAGCACACAGCAAGAACTAAGTGCTTAAGTGAAATCCAGGTCCTTTTAATTGAAATGGTAGTTTACAGATCCTGTTCAAACCGACATAGATTATCTGTTTACCCTAACCCTGTTTACCCTAGCCTATTCTATCAATATACATTTGGCTTGTATTGGCCAATGGGCACATATTTATTGTTTTTGCATATTTAACTCATTATGTATTTTGAGAGGCCTGCAGTTGCTTTCCTTATGAGTGCCTGTGGGTTGTCTGAATAACTGACTACCAAGGGGTATACCAGCACCTGTTTTTCACCACTTCAAGCACTGCTGTAATTCATGTAGTTGCTCCTATTTATTTTCTTTTGTGTAGAACAATTAGTGTTGTCTTTCAGTATAACAAAAAGCAAAATGTCATGGCAAATGCAATTAAGCTTTACTCCAACGCATAAGAGTCATTGTTCAATATTGTTGCATTTAACCAGCAAAAGATCTTCAACATTTTATCATTCAGATTGCAAGATTCTGGCCTGAAGATTTTCCAGCTACACTGCAGAGAAAGCTAGTATAGCAAGATATTTGCAGGCAATTTGTGCTAGTTCAGGAAAGCTGGTTTGGTTTCCTTTATAGTAGTCTAAAGGGTTGTCATCCTCTGTTAAACAGGGTTGACTCAGGAATACGGTGACATCATGTGAAGCTTTGGTAACAGGTGACGGACTAGTTTCAGTTTTACAGTTTGGGATGTTTCTTTGATTAGGCACTGCAGTCAGTTCAAATTCAATTCAATATTCACAATCTGAACTGGAATTTCAGGGCCAATCTCAATTCATTTCTGAATAGTGCACAAGCCTGACACTCTCATTGTATCTGTTCATTTGGAAGACCACTCACTGCAGAAGTCCACCTCAGCAGAGGCAAACATTTCTGGGTCGACCTCCATTCCATCAAGGCACACGAACAGGTCCCCCACCACGTCAGACTGGTCCCCCTCAGCACTGAGCTGCAACGTCTGCATGACCTCCGAGACTGAAATGCCAAAGACATGGGATTGCTGAGCACCCCACAAATCTGGGGGATTTAGGAAAAAGCCTGTCTGTCATCTCTGTGAGCGCTGAATACTGACTGAAACTTTTGTTAATTTTTACCAGTCTTCAGTGTGTTTGTAAAATACGCCTTACTAAAGTGTGTCCAGAAGACTTGTTTATCTCTATTGAAACATATGAGGCCACAGAAAGACAGCAGGGATCAGTGCAAGGCTCATACCCATGTAAAGAATTGAGCAGGTACAGTACTTACTTTTCATGTCATTAGATTTTAAGGTTTCCTTAACTTCCAATATGGCTACTCCCAACAGAATGTCCGACTTCAGAGTGTGATGGCTCCACACGCGGAAGACCAATTTACTGAAAGGCGTGACAATCCTGCATAATAACAAGGTAATGGAAAGATAGTCAAAAAGGCTTGGTGCAAGGCAAACGGTGCAATACAATTCTGAATGTTACAATAATACTGTACACCAATATAACTGTATTCATAATGACAGTAAAAAGAATAAATAGGTGCTTTGTTATTAAGAAACTGAAAGGATTAGACTTTCAAATTGAGTATCTATTATATAAATTATCTTAAAAAAGCATTTAAAACATGTTTATTATACATGAAATTTAGATAAGTTTAGGAGGGCATTGCAAACTGGTAGCCCTTTGTATGGTTCAGTACCTGTGAAGTAGCTCTCAGTTTGAAAAAGGTTGGTGACCCCTGGTCTAAAATATAAGCTTCATAATTTTATAACTAGATGGTGTCAGTCCGACTATGTATTCCTGGGCTGGCCCCATCACTCCCCCCATCTAATCCCTGTTCTTCCAACAATCCCCGCCTACACAATCTCCCCTCCCCGCACACATTCCTCACATCTCCAAAAAAATCTTTATCATAAGTTTGAAAAAGATCCAGTAAATACTTTTAGAGCTACTTTGTTCACAAGATTGAGTGTCTTTACCAGTCACCCTTTTTTCCCTTCCTTTCTTCCTTCCTTCCTCCATCCCACCCTAATGCTGTTGCTTGAATTTTGTTACAGTTTGTTTTAAAATTAAATCAGATGTAGACCCTTATCTATATAATGTTTTTTGTAAAATGGCAATAAGATGCATCATGATGAGTTATCATGTTCACAAAGTTAAATGTCATCTGAGACTAAGATGCCACTAAGCATAGTTGCTTCAGTTTTGGTACGATATGTCTTAAAATTTGAACATTTCCACTTCATCACGCATGGGTCTGTGGAATCATACGAGTGCCATAAAAAAAAGAATACACCTGTAAAAGAATAAGGAAAAAAATGTTGAGTAAGAAAGTAAAATAAGTTCAAGTATAAATCAAAGAATAAAAAAATCAATGCTTTTCTTTCTCTCGAAGGGCTAAGCTGACAGTCAGCTAGCTTTTGGGCTGAGGAAAACATGCCCCCTCAGACAGACTGAGTGGCAAAACATGCTGCAACATATCTGAGTTTAGTTGGGGAAACTGCAAAATAAATAATTTGTTTAAATTAAAACGCAGTTGGACACGACAGGTTCATTTTTGTGGCATTTAAGCTGAATGCTAATGCTGCCACAGTCTTTTTGCCCTTCAGTGGGTGTTACCAGAGTATAATTCACCTACTGTGACAACAGGCATACTACCTTGGAAGAAAAATTAAATGATCGGTGGGGTTGGGTGCATTGTGGGATTGTTGTTCTGTTTTAGGACTTAGGCAAGAAGACACTGTTTGTTCCAGTGGACGGGTGGATATGCACTCGAATGGAGGACATGCTGATCTGGCATGGTTAGAGGGAACAGTCAAATCAGCAGGAAAGACAGGACACATCTAGTAGCTAGACAGAGGCAAAATGGGAACTTGGGGGGGCAGCAGATACCCTGTAAAAAAAATCCCGTTGTTTTTACGGAAAAAAGCTGGCAGCTGTGGTTACCAGAATTATTCTGTAAAAAATACTGTACACGTGTAAACAACTTTACAGAAACATCTAGAAATTGTACTGGATTTCAATGTAAAACAACCACCAACTACATGTAAAGTTTACTTGGTTTCAGTGTAGAATAAACAACGATAAGATGTAAATTATACTGAAATAACTGGTACAACAGCAGCATGTCCCTGCTAAATTAACAGAAAGATGATGTTGAATCTACAAATTAACTATGTAAAACGTTACAGTTCTGGTATGTGAAATTGACAGACTGTTTCATAAAGCTGTTTACATTCTTAATGAATTTTTTTTACAGAATTACTCTGGTAACCATAGCTGCCAGCACTTTCTTGCCGAGGTAACACGCTCTTTATTAGTAGTCCTGAAAAGAACTACATCAGGCACCCAAAGAGCACCGAACCAATTATACACAGGAAACACGAGGTTGTCAGACGCTCAACTGTAAGACGCATACACGGTGGGAGATTTACGGACGCTAATTACACACAAGGATCGGACAGGGTACACATAAGACACAGGTAAACACACGCGACAAGAAGGAAATATAACCATTAGCAATAACAACAACAATACAAGGGCTATTTACAAATGCGCGCGGGGCATGCTGGGACATGAGCCCCGCCGGTGCTGCAGTATTTTTTTATCACCTCTGTGGAAAAATACCTTCTTATCAATGGACCAGAGGTGTTGCCATGAGGTGAAGTTCTGACGGTAGCCCCGAATGTACCGTCAAAAGCTGTCTGACAAACCAGAAATCCTGAGTTGTGTGGACTATTTCTTGTTGGTTCGTAACGCACGTAGCAAAAAGCAAGTGTTGATATATCATTTAAAGTATTACTGTTTCTCATCTGTAAAGCACAGAATATTAATTTGTAAAATGTAACACGGTTTCTTTCAGTATAAACAAAGTTGACCTGATTAAAAAAATATAATTTTCACACCGTTATGGTGTAATTTTAACTGTATTGTACTGGTTTTTATATTACAGTTTGTTTAGGTTTAAACTACAGTAATATGTTAACTCTACCAAATTTTTTTTTTTTTTAAACATTTTTACTGAAAAATTAACAGTTGTTTTTTGTTAAGTATTTTACAAAATCTTAATGTCAAATATACACTGCTATATTGTTTTTCCTTTTACAGTTTTTTATGTTGTTATTTTACATAATTTCTCAGTTAATTTCACGGACATTTTTTACAGTGAGAACTCTTGCTTGCGATAGTTTGAGCTTTCTAATGCAAAGCATTTAAACGTATAACATCATAAGCATAATAGTATAATCAATGCTAGTATAATAAATGTGTAAGAGTAGATTAGGTAATCAAATAGTAGATTAGGTGGTCATATATACATATACAGAATGAACAAAGGCAAAAGATCATGAAAGGATGAGGAAATCAAGCACTGGTCATGCCATATGATAACCAATCCTGTTATAGAAGACCTTGTAAGGGAGTGCTGAAGGAGTATATAAAGTATATAAAGAGTGCAGTGCTTTGTCCAGTGTGTTGGCACCAGGGAATGTGGAGCACCCTATCGCTGTCATTATACTGCTATTCTGCTTATAAAGAAGAATTTACCTTATCCATATTTGGGGTTTTGAGTTTGACTTTTTTTTTATAAAGTCAAGGTATCGGAGGGGTTTTTTATCCTTCCATACCTCCTATTGACTAGTTAGCCTGGACTGGAAGGCCCACCGAAAGCCAGGCAACTGACAACTTGGCCATTCGAGGAAAAGCAAAAGCAACATGGAAAAGGCAAAAGAAACCTGGGAAAAGCAATAAGAAGGCATTTATTTAATTTTTTTTAATTTGTATTTATTTTGCTTTCTTATTCAACAATTATTTCCTTATTGTCTTACAGATTTGTTCATATCTATGGCTCATATTACTCCATATGCATCGAGAGTTTTAAAAAGATCCATCCAACACGATTTGAATTATCAAACTAACGAGAGAGTCAGTGGCAGAGGTCTCAAAACTGTATGTATTCTGTGTTCAGGGAATATTAAAGAAAAATAAGCAACTACATACTGTGTAGAATGTTTTGATGCTCACATAAGAAGTATTACTAGAACTGCATTTTATCATCTACGAAACATAGC